AGAGGGAAAGGGGCTGTGTGCTTACGACTGGGGGGACAGGCTTGCAGGGTATACCCTTTGGTTGGTTGACGATGCATGGAGGGGATTGTAACTATAGCAATGAAACGATATACAATGGGATGAATGTAAAGCTAATGATCCCCCATGTAAACTATCTCATAATTCACAATAAAACATTTTTAAAAAACCAAAAACAACTGTCAATGTCATCAAAACCCATTTCCATGAATGCCTCAAAGTAGCAGAAAAAATTCTCACTTTCTCATTTATAAGAGAACACATATAAAAGGAACTGTCTAAGTTAAGAGAATCCTAAAAGTGGACTAAATGTATTGTGGAGCTTTCAATGGGACATTAGTTAACAGCTAAAGAAATCTAAACTAAGTAAAGACTTCAGTTAATAATGTATTAATACTGGTTTATTATTGTTGTTGTTAGATGCCATCAAGTCAATTCCAACTAATGTGAGAGTAGCGAACTGCCCCTTAGAACTTGCTAGGCTGAAATCTTTATTAGAGTAGATTGTCAAGTCTTCTGTCCTGTACAACTAATGGTTAGGTTTTAACTGTTTTCCTTTATAATACACTAATGTAAAATGCATTTATTGTGGTGCTGTGGGCTAATGCGTCAGACTGCAAAGTCGTTTGAACTGCAAAGATCAAGCTCACCAGCTGCTCCTTGGAAACCCTATACAGGGTTGCTATGGGTCATAATCGACTTGAAGGCACCTAACAACAACAACAATGTAAAATGCTAACTACAGAGAAAACTGGATCTGGGGGGATACTAGAAGCCTCTGGAATGTTTTCATAACTGTTCTGTACATCTAAAATTGCTCAAATTGAAGAAGTTTATTTAAAAGAAGTCAGTCTCTTTCAGTAGTCTTTTAAAGCAGTATTTTAAAAAGCTAACATTCAGATAAACCACCTGGGGATCTTGTTAAAATGCAGCTCAAAACTGAGGCTCTAACACGGTGTGTGAGAGTCTGCATTAGTAATGCACTCATAGGTGTTGCTCTGACTGCTAGTCCAGGACCACACAGGTAAGTGGCCAGGTTTTGAATATAAAATACTGTTGTCAGATGTCAACACAGTTCAACTGCATGTGTTTAAGGGTTATTTCAAAGCAGCAATATTTGCAGAAATATCTCCCAGGAAACACTTGTGTTAGAAAACCCTCAAAGACTGGCCATTAGAACTTTGATGCAATGCTAAATATTTTTCATTTCCCTAAAAATAATGTGTCAAAATTATGTTCTAGAAAGAACTAGCCCCTACTACTTACACTGGTCAGATTCAATGTGTGTGTCTGTGTGTTTATACAATGTTTATTTTAAACCCCTGCAGAAAAGAGACTAGAAGCTCTAGAAGTCTCTCTAGAAGAGAAGTGTTCACAGTAACTCTTAGAAGTAGCACTACACTCCATGGCTCAAAACCCTGGTCAATCTTGTGGTTCAACAGGGAATGATTGCTATCAGGACTGACTGTAAGTGTTGGAAATGTAAAGGTAGACATTTTGTAACAAAAGGACAGGAGTGGTTGATTTTGCAGTCCAGGAGCGGAGGTCCCTGGGACCATCAAGGGAGAAGAACAGAGTGCAGGACCCTATCACAAGAAGCAGTGATGCCAGAGATGGAGGCAGAGATGATGACGTGGAGATATGAAGTGGCTGGGGACTCTGGACTCAGAGAGGGAGAGGGTCTGTATGTTGACGGCTGGGAACTCAGAGAGAGCAATGGTCTGTGTGTTGACGGCCGGGGGACAGACTTGCGGAGTATACCCTTTGGTTGCTTGATGATGCATGCAGAGGATTGTAATCATTGCAATGAAAGGAAATAAGATAGGATGAATGTAAAGCTAATGTTCTCCCATGTACACTAGCACAAAATTCACAATAAAGCGTTTAAAAAAAAAACCACCCTGGTCAACCTACAGTTCAGTAGAATAGCATCTGATTTTTAGTCACTTAGTGTAAGGAGCTCTGGTAGCGTAGTGGTTACGATTCGGGCTGCGAACCTTAAGGTCAGAGGTTCGAAACTACCAGCTGCACCGCGGGAGAAAGATGAGGCTTTCTACTCCCGTAAAGATTTATACCCTCGGAAACCCTATACAGGGTCGCTATGGGTCGGAACCGACTCGATGGCACATAACAACAACAACAAGTGTTTTCTCTGCATGAGGGGTCACACACCACAGGCAGGAGTATGTATGCTCAAGGATTAGGTTGGAGGAGGCAAACGGTCTTGTACCAATCCTCTTAAATATTAAAAAGAGAAAATTTTAAATTCAAGAAATGCTATGAATACAAAAATCAATGTGCCGTGAAATTTATGAAATATTATTGCTGTAAGAACTGTGGTCAAAGACGTTTGAAAAACACTAACCTCACAAATGCACAAAGAGGTTTAGCTACAAGGATGCTCACAGAGGCACTACTTAAAATAACAAGAGACTGGTAACAACCTAAACTAACGGCACATTAGGTCCATAAATTGTGGCACATTTTTACAATGAAATCAAAAAGAAGATCAATGCTTACCATTTTCTTCATGGCAGTAATCAAAACCTCCTATACTACATCTTCGAAAAACCATCTTATTCTCTGTGAGAGTTCCCGTCTTATCCGAAAAGAGGTACTGAATCTGACCAAGATCCTCAGTGATGTTCAGGGCTCGACATTGAACAGTAGAATCTATTTTCTCATTGTAGAAATCCACATCACTCTGGATAAAATAGATTTGGCCAAGCTTGACAATTTCAATGGAAACATAGAGAGAAATGGGAATCAGGACCTAGGAAGAAGAACCAAACAATTCGGAAGCATTAAAAGGGTCAGAAAAAAAAGGATGAAAAACTGTAAGTATCAATCATTCTTATGATATGCTCAATATATTACCTGTAACAAAATGATCATGGTCCAAAACATATAGAAGCCTGCCAACAGTGGTGAGATGACATGCCCATCAGGGTCCGGAATATTAAAAAAGGGAATATCTTCATACCTGCTCAACCAGATCTTATGACCTTTCAAAAAATGGACAGACATCAAACAATGCTACATTCCTATCATGCAAATATAGAATTTTATTCTTAAGCAAAAGGGGATTAAAACATTTATTTTTGTTTGAATACCAATTGTTTGTTTTGAAGAACAAATTCAGAAGACTACACAATCTTCTGTCTCCCAAGAATCACTTTTTAAGTCTCTTCCCATGTCCCATTGAAGCCTGGTGGTGCAGTGGATTAAGTGCTGCACTGCTAACTGCAAGGTCAGTGGTTCAAATCACTGAGAAAAGGATAAGGCTGTCTGCTCCTGTAAAGACTGACATTCTTTGAAACGCGTTACAGCAGTTCTATTCTGTCCTGTAGGATCATTATGTGTTGGAATCCACTCAACAACAGTAGGTTTGGATGTTTTGGACAGGTCCCTTGTACTCCTCACAAAAGTCAAACATTCATAAATATCGTTTTGAAAATAAATTAATTTAAAACTAGCATCTTGCTAGAAGATGTCAGCAGAGAATCATATTTTACTTACCCAATGCACCAGTGAAACACATTATAATCAGAAGAAGAACACACCAAAGGACATCTGTATTTGCTCTTCTCTCCAATTTACTGCGTTTATACCGAGGGCCACTGTTGTTCAGCATTGCTTTGGTTTCATGACCTGAGTAGGAAGCGCAAAATATCAGAAAAGGTATACACTCAAGCCAGGTGAGAAATATCATATTGATATTTCTGCCAGACAACTTAATAAAACATAGTTACAAAGTAAATTTTGTTAGTTTCATCAGCTGCTTTTGAGATTGATTTAGATAAGCAGAGATCCATGAGTAAGCTTATCTAGACAAAATTTTCTTTCTGCTTCTATAGATTGCATTTGGAGTAAATGAAAACTGTTAATTTACAGACAAGATTAAAGGAGGCAACAATGACAAATTAGAAGTTTAACCAACCTGCATAAACCACAATGCCCACAACAGCCTCTGTGTTTCTAATGGTACATCCTCTAAGTAATAAATTTTCTTTACTGAGGCCCACACGTTCTTTGTTGGCATGTTCTCTATAAGAAAGACAGCAAGAGTGGGTACATAAAAATAAAATCAGAGTTGTTTCCTTGACATGTAGTAATAAATTGGGCAGCTTGGAGGAATGACTTCAAAGTCTCTGGCCCATTTGATTTTGTTATATCAGCATTACTTGCTTGGGCTAGGAAAACAAAACAAAAGAAAAACAAGTTTTTAAATACCACTGTTGTCTGTTAGTTCTTGTTTGCAAACCTGTGGCGCTGTAGGTTAGTTCATTTGTTAACACTGGACCATGAGGTTAGTTCGAACTACAAGATAAGCAGTACAAATGTACCAGCTGCTCCTTGGAAACCCTATACGAGGTCACTATGAGTCGGAACTCACTCAACAGCACTTAACAATAACAACAGTTCTACAGAAGATCAAAATGATTCCAAAACAATAATTCTGCTTTTCTAGTACCAACTTTATTTCAGGATAGTGTAATATTAATGAGGAAAAATATTTTGGCATAATTGAAAAAAAAAAAATCACCATGTTTAATGCTGATGAAAGCAAGGAGAATTCTTGACAATGATAATTGATGAATACTAAAATCATTAAGTTCAAGGTTGATGGAGCACTTTACGTACAGTGAAAAGATAAGGATGACGACAACAATCACTATCAATGGGACAAATAACGTCATGGGCTTCTGGATATTTTAAGATAAGAAGTTCATGGCTCCAGAGGAAATTAACCAAGTCTCTATTAAGGGGTCTCCACCTGAGATCTGTGGTTTCAGAGGATCTGTAAAGCCCCTGAAATCTTATGATACGTTGTACTTGGGCATATGTACATGAATATATGTAAAAATATATTGTCACAAGTTCATTAGATTCTAAGAGGAGACTCCATTTCTTTTGTCAGATTATGAAAGTGGTCCTTGACAGTTGACAGGGAGAAGAAAGGAGTTAGAGAAGCATATTAAACATCAGCACCAGGATGTAGGTTGTTGTTATGTGGCGACCCTGTACTGGGTTTCCAAGGCTGTAAATCTTTACAGGAGCAGAAAGCCTCATCTTTCTCCCGCGGAACAGCTGGTAGTTTGAAGCTGCTGACCCTGAGGTTAGCAGCCCGATTCGTAACCACTACACTACTAGAGCTCCCTAGGATGTAGGTAGCCAAATCTAAAATGCAGTGATCTTTGCAGGCAAAACGGCCTGGTTTATTTAACAAATTAATGGTATGAGGAAAAAAAAACTGTTAATATAGGAAGAATATAATCAAATAATCTAGAACGTGGTAAATTCTAAAAGCTCAGTGACCCACTCCTTTGAGAGGGAAAATTTAGAAACATATCGACCACATGTAATGTGTAGACTTTGATTTGATCCTGAGTAGAATAAAACTACAATAAGCGTTTTTTGGAACAATTGGAAAAATTTGAACAGAGACTAGGTAGTACATGATACTGAGGAATTGTAATTAATTTTGTTAGGAGTGACAATGGTGTTTATGGGGTTTTTGTTTGTCTGAATCCTTAATAGCTGTATATACATCGTGAAGCACTTTACAGTGAGTGATGTGACAACGGCATGGGGAAACTGAAACAAAGGTGGTAAAATGTTGAAATTGTTCAAACTGGGTGAGGACACATGGGTGAAAATTATACTTTTGCCTTACTTTTTATGTTTGAAAATTTCTGTAATTAACAATTTCAAATTATCAAAGCAATTGCTTGACTCATTACTCTACGGGCAAAAAATATATAGTCAAAGCTTTGGAATGTTTCAACAAATAAGCAAAAAATAATGTTTTCCACATATTTTGAAAGTGACCTCTTAATTTCATTATTAAAATTAGAATTGTTTTCTAAGCACTAAACTCCGGTGTATATCATGCCTGCCATATTCTTACTCTTGAGATTTAATTCCAGCATTATCTCCCTACCTCTTCCCATGGCATAGCTCTCTGCCGCTCTTCTACCTGTCTATAATGATGCTCCAGTATAGTCTATAATTGCTTACTTAATAACGCTTGCTGTTGTGGTGGCAAAGTGCTGTCAAGCTGGTTCTGACTCATAGTGACCCTGTATAGGGTGTCCAAGAAACAGCTGATGGGTTTGAACCACTGACCTTGTGGTTAGCAGTCCAGTGCTTGATAAAGCTTACGTATTAAAAATTTTAATAACTTTGGTGAGTAATAGAATGAACTGCACACATTGAATGTATGTAATTTAATAAGTAATAAGTTTTGACATATTTTCCCCATGAAACCAATACCCACATCCGAATAGTAAATGTATCCATCATCCCCAAACGTTTTTTCTTGCCACTTGGTAGTTTCTTCCATCCTTCTTCTCTGTTTCTTCTTCCCAGGCACCTTCTGATCTGCTACATTAATTTGTTTTCATTTGCTAGATAATTGTGTAAATCAAATCATAAAATATGTACTTGTTTTCACATCTTTTGGGTCTGGTTTCTTTCACGCGGCAATTATTTTGAGGTGCATGCATTTTGTTGCAAGCATCACTCATTCATTTCTTCTTACTGATGAGCAGTTCACTGGTGGCACTGAAGGATCAGCACTGGACTGTCAACCAAAAGGTCCGCAGTTCAAACACACAAGTAGCTCATTGGGAGAAAAAGGAGGCTGTCAACTCCCATAAAGATCGGTAGTCTCAGAAACCCTCCAAAGGGTCCCTATGACTCAGATTTAACTTGGTGGCAGTGGTATGATTGGTTGGTTTAGTTCATTGTATGGCTGTACCACATACATTTTATCCACTCATCTATTTATGGATATTTTTATTATTTCCATTTTAGACTGTTACATAAAGCAAAAATACTTGTCATCTAGCAATCATTTTTTGGACAAACGTACCTTCTTTTCTCTTTTGCAAATTGTTGTTGCTAATACCATCAAGTCAGTTCTGGCTCATAGTGACCTTGTACAGAGTTTCCAAGGAGTGGCAGCACCAATGGAAAGAATAGAAAGACTGTTTTTTCTCCAGTGAATTGCCATTACATTTTTGTCCAAAACTGGTTTTCCATAAAGGGGTGGTCCTATTTGGGGGCTTGAGCATCTTTCCCTTCTCTCGCCAGCGCTAAAGCCTGGCTGGAAGCCCCCCAGACACAGTTCTCATAGCGGGAGACTTTTGCTCTAGACCTACAGATGCTTGTATGGACCCTCCCTGCTCTGTGCCCCACTGTGGATCCAGGCCTGCAGCTTACCCATCACTCAAGCAAAGGAGGGTGGGACTAGTCCTGTCATTTATGTTTAACAGGAAGACAGTCCTGTCATTTATGTTTAACAGGAAGACTACACAGCCTGTCAAGTGAGCCACTTGGTTTGAGTATATGCTAGGAGCTGTGATTGATCTATAGTGAACCAGCTCCCGGCTGAGTCCTTGGCCTTACCTGATAAACTCTTCTAGGCCTCTAATTTATTCCTATTGTTTTGAACATTTTTCCCTTGCTCTTAGGGGTTCAGTTCTGAGTTCTAAGGTGGATCTTGGCTTAGAAGAGGGCACGATATTAGATCTTAGACTTTCTACCACTGTTGCTTAATAGAAGTGCTGGGATTTGTATTCTGCCTCCTAATTGGCAGCTGCCCTTTGCTCTGACTTGTCTTGGGTCAATTGCTCACGGCTTCATAAGGTCAGGGCCTCAAAAGGAAGTGGCTTTCAAACTGTCCCCCAACCCCTGTATGCATCTTCTTGCTTCCGTGAGTCTCTTACCCTAACTACCCCCTTGACAGATGTCCAAGTCCTTTCTACATCAAAGTGAAGAACAGCCTTAGGAGGGATTTTGAGTCCTGGTATGGTGCTGTGGGCTAATGTGCTGTACTGCACAGTTGGTCTGAACCACAAGGTCGGCGGTTCAAGCTCAATAGCTGCTCCTCAGAAACCCTATACAGGGTTCCTATGGGTCAGAACTGACTGGACAGCACTTCACAACAACAATCTATGGCTAAGGGACAGTTGTGCTCATGCCCTTTGCTTCTGGATGCTTAGAAGCTCTGGCACCTATCAATCAGCCTTGGATAGAAACTATCCTGAAGGTTTGAAAAACCACCAAAGAGAGGGAACAAGGACCACAGCTGTAACGTCTGTTTGCCAGGCTCCCAGGACCCAGGAGGCAGAGCCCAGAGGTGGCGCCCTCTTCAGCTGGTCCCTTCCATCCAGCTCCAGAAGCCATGTTGCCCTGGGCTCCCCCAGTAGACAGGAAGAGTGTGCGAACTGGATGCATGCCCTGGGCTGGGGGAAGGAGGCAGGAACAGATCCTCTGCCTACCTCAGACCTGACAATCTGATCCAGCCCACTTAGACTCTGGCCTTGGGAACCATTTGGGAGAATACTTGCCCCCAGACTGAAGGAGGCCCAGAGACTCACAGTGTGTGTAGCTCTGCACAGACATCTTAACCCAAACACAGAAGTGGTGCTCTCCTCCGGGAAGGCAGGCAAACCTGAGTAGGCTGAATAGAGCTTGGTGGCCTCACACGGTCAAGCCAAAAGTGCAGTGTTCTGGTTCAGAAGGAAATGGGGTCCAATGTGAGATGGTGTAGGGTGCTCAGTCCACCTCTACTCTCCCTTGGAGCCTGTACTGTTTGCCTTGAACATAGTAGACTTCCGGATAGCCAATGGTCCAGAGCCAGGGCAGGCTTTGGGAGGTACTCCTAGTGTCAGGGAGTAGAAGTTGGCGGAGTGCTGCTGTCGACCCCTTGCATTGTGCTTCTAATACATGTAGAAATTGAATGTAATGTATTTAAACCTTGTAGAAATTGTATGTAATGTATTTAAACAAATTGTATGTAATGTAATTAAACAACAACAACAAAAAGAAGATAAGGCTTTCTGCTCCCTTTAAAAGTTTCCATCGGAAACCCTATACTGGGTCACTATGAATTGGATCCGACTCCACAGCACACCACCACCACCACCACCAAGACAATATCCCATTGTTATTTTATACCCATTGCCAATGCTTAGAATGAAAGGGTGAGTTTTGAAAGTTGGGAGTCCTGGTGTGGATTGTCACTACAGGATAATGCACGGGACCGCAAGCTCAGTGTGAAGTGCAAGGTCAGCGGTTCAAACTCACCAGTCAGTTCCTTGGAAACCCTATACAGGGTTGTTATGAGTTGGAACTGACTGGATGGCACTAAACAGAAAACAACAATTTTTCCTAAGGGTACTGGTGGTGCCATGGGTTAAGCAGTTCAAACCCATCAACTATTTTTCAGGAGAAAGTGGAGGCAAGTTGCTTATGTAAAGATGTACAGCCTCAGAAAGCCTAAGGAGCAGTTCTCCTCCAGCCTGTAGGTCCATTGTGAATCGGAATCGACTCGATGGCCGCGAGCTTGGTTATTTTTTTAATTTCATTTTATCTAATACTATTGTAAATGATGTTGGATTTTAAAATTCAATAGCTGGTTGTCACTAGTCTATGAAAACACAATTGATAATTTGTCTATTGGTCTTCTTCCCTATGTCTCTAAATTCATTTATTAGTTGTTGTTGTATGTTGTTGCTAAGTCCCGTTGAATCGATTCAGACCCATAGTGACCCTGTATAGGGTTTCCAAGGAGCAGCTGGTGAGCTTGAACCACCGACCTTCCAGTTCAAATGACTTTGCAGTCTGATGCATTAGCCCACAGCGTCACACCAGGACTCCTATTTCTTACTTGTAGTAGCTTTTACTTTTAGATTTCATCAGATTATCTACATAGATGTGAAAACTGGAAAGTTGTACTTTTGCTTTAACAAGACATCTATGTTTTCTTCGCCTCCTGAGTAGTCTTAGTGTAGAGAGTGACTATCTGTATCTTATGATCTGAAGGTGAAAGCATTCAGCCCTTTCCAGTCAATATGATGCTACTTATAGGTTTTGCATGTTGTTGTTGTTAAGTGCCGTCGAGTCTGTTCCGACCCATAGTGACCCTGAACAGGGTTTCCGAGGCTGTAAATCTTTATGGGAGCAGAAAGCCTCATCTTTCTCCTGCAGAGTAGCTGGTAGTTTTGAACTGTTGATCTTGAGGTTCGCAGCCCAATTCGTAACCACTACGCTACCAGAGCTCCTTAGGTTTTGCATAAAGGCCTTTTAATTGGGTTGAAAAGTTTTTTTCTATTTCTAATTTTCTAAAAAGAGTTATATTTTCCAAACGTCTTTCTCTGATATTTTTAACATTAAAGTAACCTTACATATTTGGGGCAAATATTACTTCGTTATAATCCATTACACCCTTTTTACATATGTTAGATTCAATTGGCTATAGTTTTTGAAGAATTTCTACATCAATGTTCAAGAGAGTTATTGTTTTTTTCTTGTCAAGTTGTTATGTTTCTATGGCATCCGGGTGATTTTCACTTCAAATAATAAGTTAGGAACTTTTTCTCTTTTACAATTTTCTCACAAGATTAGCACTCTTAATTAGGTATAAATGTCTGCTCCTAAAAATCAGAAGAGTAAAGACCCAAGAAAAGAAATAAGTTGGCCCTTGTGTGACAGAAGCCCAGCCTAAAACTAGGTAAGACCCCACATTCTATCGCTGCATGCAAAAAGGATGAGGCTTCCACATGACACCACAAGAATGAAGATGGTCATGGTTCACCATACACTGTTTTACTTATGTTTTCAAATCGGTGGCTTACTTTGGCTAACCAGAATTTTCCACTTGCTATTTCAATTTAGTAGGGCAACTATATTAAGAATGCTGCTTAAGCTGCTAGTTCTGTCTTAGCACCTTCACACACACAACTAACTTGTCTTGCGCTTAATATGGAGTTCATGTAAGTATCCTTACAACGCTGTAAGAGACTCCTGGAAGAAGCCTTGCAACACTGAAAGAGGTATTTTAAAATAAGGGTTTGTTTTATTTTTTAGCTTTGTTTATATCGGATTTTATTATTTTTTAAGCATATATGTTTTGGCAACAAGACAAATTTATAGGTAGCCAGACATATGGCCTTTGGTGACTTGAGTTGGGTGCTACCGAGTCAAATCCAACTCAACGATCCTATGCACAACAGAACAAAACGCTACCCAATCCTGGCACCATCCTCACAATCATTGTTATGCATGGGTATAGCTAACAAAAATCTTAGCAATTTAAATATAATTGCAACACACAAATTCACTCACAGCCACAAAGGTAAAGTCATGTATACTCACAGAAAGCCTCGGAATCTATTGAGGTCGTTGTTTGCACTTTCACATTCTATTCTGCTGGAGAACTTCTCAGGATCAACTTCAGAATCCTTTTTTTTTTTTTTTTTAAATCACAAAGCAAGAATTCAAGGTTAACCCCTTGAGGCTTCAGTTTTTTCACTTTCACCCAATCCTCCAGATAGTACTAAGGCATTCTTGCAGCAAAGTTTATATCATAAATTTCCCAAATAAAGAGAAGTATTGTTGTTAAGTGCCATCGAGTCAATTCTGACCCATAGTGATCCTGTATAGGGTTTCCAAGGAGCAGCTGGTGAGCTTGAACCACCGACCTTGCAGTTCAAGCAACTTTGCTGTCTGACACATTAGCCCACAGAGCCACACCAGGACTCCAAAATAGGGCTTTGTTGTATAGGTGTAAGTATAAATGAATAAATGGGACAAGAATGATCCTAAAACATGAATACACATCTACATGTGAAGGGAAAGTTTGAAGCATTCAATAGAATCCATGGGGAACTCTACAGAACAGAGAACTTCCACTCATAAAGCAAATATTCCTTATCTATGTTCTTGTTGTTAAGCAACATTAAGTCGGTTCAGACTCATACGGTTTCTGAGGATCCATTGGTAGGTTTGAACTGTAGACCCAGCTGTCAGTAGTCCAGTGCTTATCCTACAGCACTACACCAGTCTTCCTTTTTATGTATGGTGGTGGTTATGTGCTGTGGAGTCGGTTCCGACTCATAGTGACCCTGTACAGGGTTTCTGAGGCTGTAAATCTTTACGGTAGCAGAAAGCCTCATCTTTCTCCCACGGAGCAGCTGGTAGTTTCAAACCACTGACCCTGAGGTTAGCAGCGCAATTCGTAACCACTACACTACCAGAGCTCCTTGCAGTTCAAATGGCTTTGCAGTCTGGCACGTTAACACATAGCACCACACCAGGACTCCAAGATTAAATGTATCGATGGGTATAAATAGTCTAAGCACATATACCTTTGATCTCAGCCAAGTTTATATCTATATAAACAGAAATGTATTAACAGAAATGACTATATGACGGGAAAACGTGCATGAGCTAAACATCAGTGTCTTATAAAATTCCCTAATGGATCAATAGATCATTTTGTAAAGCTTCATAAAACCAATGTGCAAACAAGCCAAGTACCCTTATAATAAGTCAGGTAAAGAATAACAAAGAATAACTCAAGTCAAACTTAGCTCATTTCCTTTTATCAATATGGATTTTTATTTTTATTTTTTGCTAATGAGAGAAATACTGTTGGTGCTATCTATTATAATATCACTATGTACATCAAGGAGTGCCGGCATGGCACTGCAGGATAATGCCCTGGACCACAAGGTTGGTTTGAACTGCAATGCAAAGTCTGCAGTTCACATCCACCAGCCACTCCTCAAGAAACCCTATACAGGGTCACTGTGAGTCAGAACCGACTCAACTGCACTTAACAAAAACAATATAGATCACAGTAAACATGGGGAAATGTGAGGTATACAAATGATTGTATGACTTGATTTGCTAACAATATTTGAGTTCTTTTAATGTACTAAGATCTATGCTGTGCACTGTAAATGTATAGATTAATTTCTTCTTCACAAGATAAGGGTACTACTCTATGAGGTAGGCATTATATTTGGTTCTAGACAATATATGAGGAAACAGAAATAGAGATTAATCTGCCAAAGGTCTTAAAGCAAGGTGAGAACCAGTATTCTAATACAAATCATCAGATTCCAAAGCCTCAGATGGATTATTACGTATAATAATAGTCAGCCTCAAAGTAGATTTTAATGGTATTTAAACTGTGCAAGATTTGTTTCTTAACCTACGTCTTAGATTAGATATATTGTTCCTGGATTTTTTTCCCAATGTCTATGTTCTCTTTTCACTTTGTTGATAGAGTAATTTAGTGAACAAATACATTTAATTTATATGAGGTGCTGTAATAGTTAAGGTGTTGTGTCTATTTAACTGGGCTGGGATTCTAAGTAGTTTAACAGCTAATAAGCAATCTAATAAGTTGGAATACATTATGTGAGCTGATAATATTACTTTTGACCTACTGTCTTTATCCTATATGTTGTAAATCCTCACTTTGATGTTGTTAATGGGGAAGCATGGTGGGTCTCTAGGATAAGTACTGGACTGCTAACCATAAGGTGGATAGCTTGAGCCCACCAGCCACTAACAGGACAAAGATGAGACTTTCTGTTGCAGCAAAGACTTACAGGCTCAGAAACCCCATACACAGTTGCTGTGAGTCGGAACTGACTCCACTGTACTTAATAACAACAACGTCTTAGAATTAGATACAGGAATGCTTATAAAATGGACACTGACACAGTAAGCACAAGAATACCTAATTAAAATCTGCAAGTAGAAAGATGGGGCCAAATGTGACTAGATAAAATTTACCAGTGGTAACAGTATTGTTATTATAGGTTAAGAATTATTTTGTTTTATACGTAGAATATGCAGGAGAACTGGCATATTATGCTAAAAAAACAACAACAATAATTTTATCTGAAGTGCATAAAGAAAGTGCAAAGTTAAAGTAGACAATAACAGTGCTGTTTTTAGTATATTAATTCATTTGGATCTCACAACAAAGTTGTGAGGGAGATACACATATTTGCCTTTTAAGATAAAGAAACTGAGCAATAAATGCTTTACATGATTTCTCCAAAACCACACAGTAATTACAGATTTTAGGAACAACAATCAATCGATCATTCTGATCATTCTTCAGCTTTGGGAGAAAAATGTTATTGGTTCACCAGTTAAGAACACATGATTTACCTGCTCTGCATATCCTCGAACCACCTGCCTCTGTTTTAAATTGCTCTCTCCATCAAGCCCAGAAGTCTCAATGTGACAGATTCCATCCGGATCAGTGGAAAAGAGTAAGACCATATCTGCAGGAATGATCTCGTTACAGGAGAGGCGAATAAAGTCCCCAACAGCAACATCTTTCCAGCATTTGTCAGTGTATTTTCTCTCTTTCCTAAATTGAGGTCCCCCACCAAACAAACAAAACACAACAATTTAAAAAGCACATCAAACAGAAAACATAGATAATAGTTTTTTTAAAGTCATACAATAAAGAATGTTTGAAGTATTAGAATAAATTTTAATCCATTAAACAGTTCAAAGGAAGCCACAGAATGGATAAAACCTGAACTCCAGAATTTGCTTGACCTGAAAATTTAGTTAACTGAGCCACTAAAACATATTTTATAGTTATTTTTTCCTGTGGCATTTTGAAACATTATGCTGTTTAAATGTAATCTGGAAATAAAATAAAATTAATCTTTGGTGAGTTTATTCATATACACAGTAGTTGCTGACTGTTGTTCCCTATCAGGCAGCAAGGAACTGGAAGGGCATAAGACACATTTCTGTTCTCAGGGAGCTTCCTGTCTGGCAGATAGGATGGATAATTAAAGATAGCGCAAAAGCAATGGGATTAAAATACACTCAGCAGCAACATCTTAAAAGTCATTACACCACATTGTTATTGTTAGTTGCCACTGAGTTGATTCTAACTGCATAGGATTTTCAAGGCTAGCAGACTGAGGCCTGTCTTCTGAGACACCTTTACATAGGTTCAAACTGCCGGCCTTCAGACTAATAGTCTAGTATCTGACTGCTCTAAACAGGGATACCCACGACAATATTAACATCTATAATTTTAATAGAATAAAATAAGCTATTAAGTAGTTCTCTGTTGCAACTGATTTCTAGAAGGGAGTACAGGAAACTTTGTCCCATTTCAAAAATGTAGTTTTCACATTCCATACGTTCAATTCTTTTTTTAAGACATACGATTTGAGCAGGAATTGACTTAAATACTCTGCTTTATGTAAAAGCTTTTGCCAAATCCAACAGTATGAATTATGCATCATGAGTCATTTTCCTTAGAGTAGAATTTAGATATTTGTAAGGTGGAATGTCCTATTAGTTAAACAGCATCTCACATATAATGACAAAAAGTATTAAGACCTGTTTTCCAGATACTTTCCCCAAGACCCTCCCACCCACCCTGCTTCCCAAAAAAATCCCTGGTATTTATTTAAAAAAAATGTTGCTGTTGTTAAATGCTGTCGAGTTGATTTCAACTCATAACAACCCTGTATAGGGTTTCCATGGTGCATTTGGTGGGTTTGAATCACTGATCTTGTGGCTAGCACTCCAAAGCTTATCCTATAGTGCCATATTTACATTAAAAACAAAGTAATTCATTTAAAAATTATAATTATAGGGCTAAATACACTAGTACATTGTTAAGGAAAATAGTTATAATTAAAATTATTTGACCTAGATGAGGGGGCTTTAAAAGGTCATGGAAAAATGTCATTATCTTTTAATTTCATTTTTCCATGAACTTTATGAAACCCCATCATATACTGAGGATTCAAATTTATCAGATTTAGTTAAAATATGCCTTAGCCCAATATTTGTATAATTTCTGATATACAGAATCATACTAAACATTTAAAAAACAATATAGCTTAAAGGACCACATAAGTAATTTATCAGGACAAATTCTCTGAAAATATCTAATGTACAAGGCTGAAATAACAGAAACTAACAACTAACAGAAATCCTTGATTCCCTTATGAGTTTGTTAGTCCCTATCTATGGTTTATTTCTTTTGTCTTTACCAAACTTTTCCTTACTGTCTATGCACCGGTTCAGGTCATTCTTCCATAGAGGAAAGTAACACAGAGAGGATTACACACACACACACACACACACACACAAAAGGTAGGCAAGAAATGTCACCACGAAATTGAAAGACGTATACACTGAAGACCATAAAACATTAATGAAAGAAACAAATCCTGGAGTCCTGGTGTGGCACTATGGGTTAATGCACTGGACTGCAAAATCAGTTTGAACCATAAGGCTGGCAGTTCAAGCTCACCAATTGTTCCTCGGAAACCCTATAATGGATCGCTGTAAGTCAGAACTGATTCAATAGCATTTAACAGCAACGACAACAAAAATTGCAATACACTCTGTGTTCATGGATCAGAAGACTTATCATTATCAAGATGTCAATATGCTACCTCAGTTTACCATTCTGAACAAAGACACAATAGTTGGTTCTGAACAGAATGGGAGAAAATGTTAAACAACACTCAAATTCCTCAAATAGATCAGATTTACTGGACCAGTAGAAAATAAAAAATCCTTCTAGACTATTACCCTGAATTCCAGGATAAACAGAAGCTAAGATATTTTGTCAAAGCCAATCCAGTGCTTCAAAACATCCTAAAGGGAGTTCTCTGGACTGAAACCCAATAAGAACAGACAACAACCAGAGATTGATAGACGTGGCAACACGACCCAGAAATCAGTTGACAGACAGAGTTCAAAACAGAACAAAATTACAACAACAAATTCAGAGAACCTGTGAGGCCAATCAAAGATCAAAAGGGGAAAATATAGAAACAGAGATTCAGATGGTGAGGAGTTCAGATAGACTGCAGGACATAACACTGCCTTAAATGGAGGGAAAAGTTAGTAGACTATACAGTAACCTCAAAGAAAGTTAATACTTCACAGCTTACCATGAAAATGAAGATTCAACTAGAACAAGAAAACATTAACACTAAGAAAAAACTGACAAGAAATAGCAGAAAAAACATGAACTCAACACAAGAAACTCAACATGGAGAATAAAGAAACAAACCGCATCACAAAAAATTAACATAATGGCAGCAATTAATTCATACCTATCAATAATTACACTGAAAGTCAATGGATTAAATGCACCAGTGAAGAGACAGAGAGTGGCAGAATGGATAAGAAAACAAGACCCTTCAGTATGCTGCCTGCAAGAGACACAATTTAAACACAAAGACAAAAACAAACTAAAAGTTAAAGGCTGGAAAAAAATGAATCAAGCTAATTTCAATAAAACACAAGCAGGAGTGGCAACACTAATTTCTGATTAAATAAACTTTATGGCAAAAACCAGCATAAGAGATAAAGAAGAGCACTATCTCAAGATTAAAGGGTCATTTGAGCAAGATGACATGACCATAATAAATAACTACACCCTCAATGAAAGAGCACCAAGATATATAAAGCAAACCCTACTACAATAGAAGAAAGAAATAGACAAATCTACAATTATAGTGGGAGATTTTAATATTCCACTTTTGAAAATGGATAGAACAACTGGAAAGAAAGCCAACAACGATACAGAGGAACTAAACAGCACAATCAACCAACTTGCACTGCTTAAGAAGAAGAATCATGTCGGGAACCTCTCACTCCCCCACTTCAAAATTTATTACACGGCTACAGTGGTCAAAACAGCTTGGTACTGGTACAATGAGATGCATAGATCAATGGAACAGAATCGAGAATCCAGAAATTAACCCATCTACATACAGTCAACTGACTTTTTTTTTCCCCAGCCAACTGACTTTTAACAAAACACCTAAATATAATCGCCTGGGGAGGTAACAGTTTCTTCAACAGATGGTGCTGGCAGAACTGGAAAGTGATATGCAAAAGATTTAAACAAGACC